CAGTTTGCAGAAAATGAGGCTAATGAAGTTAATTTTCGTGAAATTCCGTAAGTTTTCTTTTATTTTGTCTCAAAATCTAAAATATAAATTACATATATTCAAGAAATATAAGAAATTATTTACATTTTTTATTTTCTTAGGTCCCATGTGTTGCAAAAGGTTTGCATGTATTTCAATTACAAAGTACGCTATATAGATAGCAGCACTGAAGTACCAGAATTTCCTATTGCACCTGAAATTGCATTAGAATTATTGATGGCTGGGAATTTTTTAGATTGTTAAATGTAACAAGTAATATCATTAACAAATAATTCAGCTTTTGGGGCATAACAAAAGTAATTATTATAATTTTGATTTTAAGAAGTAAAAATTCAATTGTATTGAGTGATATATTTAAAAAAAAAATGTTCTTACTTTTCCCTTTATGTTTTATAGTAGGATATTCATTTTAATAAATCATTGCAGTTCATTATAAAATTACATTTACTAATAGATATTTGAAAGATTCACATATGCCCAATAATAAATACTGAAAGTGAAAATAAAAGGAATCTTAATAAGTGATTTAAATTTGCTGTCTATGCTACTTGATTATATTTACTACATATTTAAGTAATACAATAAATTGCTATAATTAAACAAAATTTCTATTAAAAAATGATATGCTGATGTAATTCTACATATGTATACATGTCTGTCTGACATACAATTGTAAAAAAAAAATTTATATTATCTACGATTGATACAAAGTTCTGTAATAGATTGCATAGTAATGGTGATCCTTATTTTTATAAATATTATGTATTGATACACTAATATAGTTATATTTTTCGTTATATATATAATGCTTATTTTTGGTTTCTATTGATGTTACAAATTATGTCATATATATAATTTTCTAACAATTTCTGTAATTTTGTTTTATATTTCTCCCTTAAAAATAACACAAACTCATAAGTAGAATATAATACGCTTAGAAATATGATATGTGATATAATGTAAGAGAAAGCAAGGAAGTGCTTATTTATTTGAGACTGTATTCTATTATAGTTAAATATCAAAATTGAAATTAATGGTTAATTTTATTTCTTACCTTCGCCATAACAGAAAATATAATTTTAGTCTTATTAATATATTTCTTATTTGTAGAATAAATGATACAATATTTTAATTAATTTCATGTTTGTACTTTGGAATATTACAATTTTATTTGTTTTTGATATCTTTTTCAATGTCCTTAAATTTTGCTTCTAATCGTTTTGAATATGCTGCCAATTTATAAGCAGCTTGTTCTAGTTTAGTTACACTATCGTCAATTTCATTAATATTATCTAAAATTGGTTGCAATTTTTTATATTTCTCGTTTAAAGAATCCAATGATTGAGCTGCACTAGACGATATTGTTTTCAATTCAGTATATTTTGCAATACTTTCTTTGTTTAATCGTTCCAATAAACGATAATCAGCATGGGTAGCTGTAAGTTCCTCTTGTAAGTATTCTCCAGTCTTTTGAAACATCGTATTAGCTAAGCGACTAAGATTTGGATCATGGGGATCCAATGCTTCAAAACTACTTGTACTCGTTGAAAGTGTAGTTCCTCGTTTCGGCGATCCGCACCTCGAATTATGATCTGTTGAATTTTCTAAAAAAGATGATGGTTCTATTTGAATGTCTTCTCTTAATGAATCTTTCACAGATGTCATTGTTATAATAAATAATTATTTGTTTAACAAGGAACAGTATAAAACCTTCCTTATGTAAAAAGAACGTGTAATTCACGAATGTTGGAAAATTATGCTTAGGTTATTATACTGCGCTACCTATCGTAGCTGTGTGAAATATTGTCGATAATATAGTGATTGTATTTTTCAATCATCAATAAAATGTTTCTAATACTGACATGGAAAGTCCAAGTCCTTCGGGTCATCGATTTAGTTGAAACTTTACAGGTTTGCAGATTCCGTCATGCAATTCAAGAATATATATCATTATAGCCGCAACTACTCAATAGCTTTTGAGATGTTTATGATTTATGCTAGTATATATTTATTACAAAATAATAAGAATATTATGCAAGAAAAACAGTTTTCTATAGCAATAATTAAGCTCACAACCAGCTGTTGAACCGGTTGGACTTCCAAATAAAAAAAAAAAGAGAAGACCGTAGTAACAATTGGGAAAGTGACGACGAAGTAAAAACTAAAGAAAGAGTTTATTTTATATTTATATTTTCAGGGCAATGAAGGAAAGGATAAAGAATACATTGAGAGATACAAAAAAGGAACCGAAGAAAGTAGAAAATTATAAAATAAATGATGTTGAAGATGATAAAGATATAAAGGAAAATGAATAGGGAATAAAGAACTTATGAGGTTTAGCACGAGAGAAAGCGGAGGAGATGCACGATAAGAGAGATAGATGCAAGATAAACCAATATGTAGAATTATTAGGATAACTCATGTATTTGAATAGAATCATTTGCAGTAGTTTGTATATGTCTATAAATATTGTTACATATATATATATGGTCATTATGATAATTATTACGTGATATGTATTACGAAACACCTTTTTCTCGCAACGGTCCGTGGTACGGATATCTACTACATGTCATTGTTTATTATGTCGTTAACAATTAACGTTTATATGTGAAACTTTCAAAGTGAATAAAACGTATGTTTGCATATAACATAGCATTATTGATGCTTATTACATAGAGCGTTTGAGCTATTGCTATTGATGTTCATGAATTAATTATAGAAATTTGGAATTCTTCGCAACAGAAATATACTTATATTTGCTTCATTGACATTACTAAATATAAGAGACATCGTTTGATATTTTACATTAATACTTTATCATATAGCCATTTCAAATATGCAACATTTTCCCGCTACAAAAATACCTAGCATATCCGGCTGCAGCCAACTTCCAGTTGGCGGCAAGCGAGCATACCGGTAAGAAATGGTGGAATATTCTCACGCGTGAAAATGAAACATTAAATCTCAGAACGTTTCGTGAAGTAGTGATATCGCTGATTGACGTTTTAATTACTTTACGTAGATCAAAATTACTAAGTGTGAATATTTCTTCGGTAGTAATATACTACATGTGAAAAAAAGTGATGTTACATAGTGTAAATCGTATAACGATCATGTGGGAAATGAAGTGGTGTGAGTGCGGGATCCTATAATACTACCGCATTGTCCGTTATTATCGACTGTAGAAGATTCTAGATTTCGACAGTTCGTTGGAATATTTGATCAACATTACTCTGAATAGTCAGCTTTTTAATATTTTTCTCAATTTTACTTCGATCTTGACGTTCAAATGGAACATAGTTACGTATTATCGCCTTTACATTCTAAATATTGATTGTGGATTAGGATATTTTATTACT